TTCTTGGGTTTTTTCTCTCGTCTTATCCACGAGAAGGATATCATCAGCAAAAAACATACACCAAGGTACATCCTCCTATAAATGTCCAGTAAGACCATCCATAACTAAAGCAAAAAGGTATGGGCTTAAATTCGATCTCTTTCTCTCTCTAATTAATAAATTCAATATGACATAAACTAGGCTCAAAAATTAAAATAAGCCGTCGTTGCTCAACTCACATGGCTATACTTCTATACTTGAGCTAAAAATTAATTTAAACTGTAAAGCTAATTAATTATAGCCAACATTAACGAGAAGAAAATCTACTAAGCATGGAAAAAGGTCAGGTTAAATCAGAACTTTACCCACTCAAAAGGAAAATTGAAAGGCAAGAAAGAGATATAACAGAGAAAAGAAAACCCACAAAATAGTACGATGATAAAACCTGAAATCTGGTATCAAATGCAGAGCTCTTGACTGTCCCCAAAATTCATTATTTATTGTCAGTCTCAAGCACTACAAAAAAGCTACAGAGTGTGTGTGATCTATTACATTTGAGTGTAATTACAAATATTAAGTTCCAAACTTGAAACACTAATTCGCATTAGTTTATTCACATATGTATATCATATCTCCTACAATTGTATGCTTTGTTGTATGTTTAGATTATTTTGTTAGTCATCTTTATATCTTAAGTTGGTGTGTTTATTTGATATATTATTTATCTTGTGTTCATATTTATTTGTGAGGATTTGACTCCGTGAATTTTGAAATAAGTGCCACATTGCAAACCTCATTCACCCTCTCTTTATGTACCCTTGACTCTCATCAATTAATTCATAGAAGAATTCTAACAATAAAATGGGGCATGATGAAGCCACCATGTATAACAAGAAGAGAAGCAAATGAGAAATCATCAACAATTTTGAAGTTGCAAAAGAGTAAGCTTGGTTCAACAATCCACTCAATGAAATGATTAACCTCATTGGTAAGGAAAATCACCTCAAATTTTGAAGGTATGAACATCCAAGAGATCGGAGCTAATAATCTCATGGCTTAACCAGCAAGCAAACTCGTTACTCAGAAGATATCAAACTTAATTAGGTTATTTATGATCTAAGAAGCACAAAAGGACCTTCATTATCTTTCTTTTTCTAAATTAATATAGAAGAACTCACACTCAATCATAGATGCTATGATTAAGGAGGCTATTAAGGACATCAAGTTGTTCTTTCCAATCTCTTAGAAAACTAGGAGATCATCCACATAACTCTATAGAAGATGGTCGCATTAAGGGTACATTAAGGAACGGTATGTTTGCATTGATGCTTCACAAAAGTTCACACAAAGGGCCTGACGAAAGAACGAAGGTAGGAGCCACGTTTAGGTAGGTAAATAAGACTGCTTAAGCACGAGTTTATTGAGATCTATTTAGTTAGCTTCAAAATTTAGCAAAATCAAAATGTAATGTATACCAGTCTCAAAAGATAAATTGAGAGATTTGATTAAGTATTCTTTCTAATTTCACTTCTTTGTTTTATTATTTCTATTCTTATTTTTATCATATAAAATAAGGGGTTTTGTATCATGAATTCAATAAATGAAATCCAATTGGAGTTTGTTGAATTTCTGCTCCAATCATAGCAAAAAACTTGAAGCGCACTGACCAGGGCTTTGTATCGTTGGATCTAGTTACTTATCACCTGTGGATAGTAAAGAACTTAAGCCATACAGATTGAGGCTCTATATCATTAGATCTATCTTTCTATATCCTTCCGATTGTAATCCATGTGTTTTCCTAAAAATTGCCGACCCTTATTTATTTTTCCCTCTTTTTTTGGTTTTATTCATAGTTTGTAATGCCTATGGGAGCCTTATATATATATTCCCCTCTAGTACAAAGAAAAGTGAAGACTCTTGAGAGATTTTTTCATTGTTTTATTTTCTACATGGTATCAGAGCAATGTTAAGGTGTTTCTTCAAGCCTTTATTCTTATTATCTAAGCTTAGGGTTTCAACTACTAATAATTGTTCTTATTCTCTAAAGTTAGGGTTTTCACTTTCAGTTTTTATCCTTATTCTCAAAGATTAGAGTTTCAACTTCCGACTTTTATTTTTATGAAGAATCTTGAGAGTTTTTTCATTGTTTTATTTTCTACATGGTATCAGAGCAAGATTAGGTGTTCATTCGAGTCTTTATTCTTATTGTTTAAGGTTAGGGTTTCAACTTCTAATAATTTTCTTTAGCCTCCAAAGTTAGGGTTTTCACTTCCAGTCTTTATTCTTATTCTCTAAGGTTAGTATTTTCACTTCCAAAATTTGTTTTTATTCTCTAAGGTTAAAATTTACACTTCCAACACTATCCTTCTCGTCAAATTCTCCTTCTATTCACTATGTCGGAGTTCTTTGACTTCCCTTCAAAAGAATTAACCATGATTAATAGAGACAATCAGGCCAAATAATAAATTTAGGTATTTCATATATCTTCTTGCTTGAATGAAAAAATTACCTTAACTGCTCCCAAATCATGAAAATCTTTCTAAAAGAAAAGAGAGTATCCAGTAACTTGTAGATCTATCTCCATAACCCAAAGATCCAAAGTTGTTAAGTCGGAAAGAAATTGATTTCATGATCAAGGTCGTGGAATACCATGCTACCAAAAAACAATGATTATTTTCTGTTTCTCTCCTAAAATAAATATGTTATGAACCTAATGAAAGAAATCAAGATGACTAAGGGCAAGACATGTAAAACTACAACTGAACCATGACGAAAATTAGACGTTGATAAAAATACTAATGAAGATATATGACAATATCAAAGGAAATCAATTTGTCAACATATTCACCAAAGGACTCTGCAGTTTAGTATTTTAAAATATTCTGAACAAATTTGGAATGGTAGATCTCTGTCACTCCAAGTTGAGAGAGGGTATTGAACTCCAACACAACAAAAAACTTAAGGCACATTGATCAGAGCATTGTACTGTTGCATCTGTTTACTTATGACACTCAGATAACAAAGACCTTGACGTGATGGTCCAATAAGGCGGACACAAGAAACAAGAGTCGCATCTCATGTATTTGGAGCGAAGGAAAAGGCAGAGACCGCCTGGACCGGTTCGATCTAAGCTTTGGGAGAGCCAGTCGGCACTTCCAAAGGGAAGTCCCACCTCTTTCAAGTAGAGGGGCCCACTCCTAGCCAAAGCGGGTGCGGGAGACGGAATCACGTCCAGTGCCACCTCTTTCAAGTAGAGGGGCCCACTCCTAGCCACCCTATTATTATATAATATAATTCTTAATATTTTAAGGGTTAGTTTTTTTGTGTTTTGTTTGGAATAGCCACCGTCTTTTCTTACCTTTGAGGGTTGTCTCCAAGGAATTGGGCAGTACTCTGGCTGTATCTCTCTACTGAGATGGTGATTATCGTTCATATCCCTTTTCAGATCTTCCCCACGACGCT